CTGTGCGAAAACCAATTCACTTTTTTTTTTTTACTTAAAGGCGGGCGCTCAAAATTTTCTTCAGCGTGGCAGAAGATTCCCCCTCTTTTCTTTTTTTCCCCCTCCCCTTTCCTCCTCCATTTTCCTCCTCGCGTTTTTACGGCCTTCTCGCACGAGTGCTAATGGGCTTAGCGGTTCCTTGACAAAATCTCTGTAACCCTTCAAGGTTCTCTGCTTCAATCCCAAACACCAGGGATTAGTTAGGCAGGCTGGATATGAGCTCGGAAGGGTTCGGGCTGGCTCGCTTTTCTCCTTTTTTTTAAATTTTTGTACTCTTTTTGTGCAGCTTTAAAACACACTCAGATAGTCAACACCAACTAGGCCAACAAGGTCTTTTACATTCAGATACTTCCGCATGCGGCCACATACGCTACAACACCGCATATTTACCTCGATTGAACGGAACTTGAACATCACAGCAGAAGGAAAAAAGATGGGTATTTTTATCTGAACTTTGAGCTCTACCCAGAGAGTTGAAGATTGGTCGTTCTAACAACGGCACACTGAAGAGTGATTGTATCACTATTGTTTTTTTTTTTTTGTTGTTGTTTTTTGTACAAAGTAATAATCATGAGTAATTACAAGTCAAAGATATAGCAGTCAGAGGGACACAGTCTGGCCATTTCTGGGGCATAATATATAGGTTCGTACTACAGGTGTTTTCTAGAGTGACAGCCGCCTCGCTGAAGCTACTAAGAAGAGTAAAAACAAACTTCCATAAAATGTGAAACGGTTTATGGTATATTTCATCTATCTTCAGCCTTTGAAAAAAATTTCTTCGTGGCCAAACGTGCATTTAGTTTTTGTCAACAAATGTAACTGAAAACTCGACAGCAGACAAGTATCTGGCGTATCACCAAAGAGAGCGGGAAATACGGAGATTGAACCGCAAAATCACAATTTTCTTCGCGTAAAATAGTGCAATTAGCAATAGCAGCATATTATGCCATTTATTAAAAGACAGCAGGTATTACGAAGTTTTCATTGTCTTCTGTTCCCATTTGTTCGCTGATTAAGAAATGGAATGCCCAGATAGCCTCTGCAGCCCTTGCATCATAATTGTTCGGGGTTCTGTCAAAGTGGGCGAAGGCCAGCGACCATCTCCAAAAAAAAAAACCTAGGAGCTCGGAAGGTGTACTACCGCAAGTTTTGGGGCTGCTTGGCTAATTTAGGCGTCTGGCGGTCCCCGCCTACTTAGAAAAGAAGCGGAACAGCGGAAGTGTAGTAAGTTGGGCGAGTTGGTATGATGACATGATGAACAGAACAGCGCACACAAAGACACAGCGCTTGTGTGTCCTGCATGTTCCTTTTCTCTGTCCTTGTCTTTGTGTGCGCTGTTCTGTTCATCACGGAACAGCGGCCAGCTCAACGTCGTCACCAAGCGGGAAATCATGCCGAAATGTGTCCTTGCACACATGCGAGATCTTTACCCGAACCCAGCCGGGATTCGCCACAATTCCTAATTAATCTATGAAAAAAAACTATAAAAAGGGGTAGGCTTAAACAATTTGTCAATTTTTGAATATACTCATGCGGACTAACTTTCCACAAGTACAGAAAGAAATGCAGTAGAAATGCAGAGCTCCATTGTGTTTTTTATGTCCATACTTGTCTTTCGCACTGTACACCAATTAAAATAAATTCTGCAATATCTGTAGATTATGCCTGGTTATGTTGTCTCTAAAAGAAAAGTAATCAAGCAAGTTCGGTATCGTGCACCCAATTTGTGCAGATACAATTTTATGTGGAATTCAACGTCAAAACAGTACTTCCGCGGGAAATAATGCATCCGTCGTTCTTCGCCTTCCTGAAGCTATGAAAATATCACGCTCAGTAGAAAATTCGCCATTTCTACCGAAAGTGCTGGAAATTATTTATTTTTCAAACAGGTCGGGTGGTGATGCGTGTTTGAGTGTAGGACCGTTGACTGGGCACTGGGCACTGGTTTGCGCCAAGGGTGCAGTGCTTCCTTTCATGCTGCCTGCGACGAGTGTTGAAATGTGAATATAGTAAAAATAAAACCAACTGACACTCTTAGAATTATTTTAAACTTGCGCTTTCTTCAGGCATTAAGATTTTGATCGTACCTTTTATTCACTTTCGTCTTCGATGAGGGAACAACTCGCCGAGGAGGCCGCGCAGTCCGCGTACCCGGCTTGACAGATAACGTCGCGAATGCTTTTCACGAATCTTTAAAGACCAAGCATAAAAATGAAAGACGCTTACAAATCTCTGTAACGCGAAATTAGAGCGCAGCTACTTTACGCCAATGAAACCAACTTTATGTTTTGGGCAGACGTCTTGCGAGAGTTGCAGCATTTTTAATTATGCCTAATAAATTAAATGTTTAAGACTAATTACCAAACTTTTTTAAATGTATTAACAACCGAAATGTCAATTGGAAAGTTCTAGAGCTCCTTGAGAAACACCCGAATTAGCTGTCTGCAACGTGATATGGCTCGCGTGGCTTCCTTCTGACTAGTAATAAAGCTTATGAAACATGACAAAATATCCCGCGATAAAGCGCCCGCCCCATCATAAACTCAATTTTGAATTGTTTTTATTTGTTTTGGATTTGTTTTTATAGGCCGGAAAAAAAAAGAGATGCATACAAGACGAGCGCCCCTACGCTTTATTTATAACAGAAAAGAACTGCCCTCTGTTTTATATACAACGTTGGTTTGTTGTTGTTTTTTTTTTTTTTTTCACCTACTAGATATTACAGAAAACGTGCAAATTAACGTTTTGTGGATGTAAGCTATACGGCCAGGCGAAGATTGGGTTCAAGAAAGAACGCAACAAAAACCGACTGATTACCTAACATTTGTTAATGAACTTTTTGATTATAAAAGAAAACGGGATAGTTGATTTATAAAGTTGTTGGGCATAATTGAAAGCCACCAAATTGTCCAGTGAAAATTAGCGCCATCGCGGTTTGTGTAGGTGAGCTATACGGCCAGGCGAGGATTAGGTTCAAGAAAGAACGCAACTAAAACCGACCGATTGCCTAAAATTCGCTAATTAACCTTTTAATTAGAAAAGAAAACGGCATCGTGTATTTAGAAAGTTGTTGGCCATAATCGCAAACCACCAAACCGTCCATTCTTAAAAAGATGTAACGCGCGACGCGCGTACACTATTGTACGCCGTCCTCCTAATTTGGGTGCGAAAATATAGTTCTAATTTTATGTGGCCTCCATCTCCGCGTGGCACAGCCTAACGCCATGAAGCAAAAGCGACAAATCATGCGTGTTGCTGTGACAACGCCACTGTTGGGGGGGGCGAGGAGTGCGGCGGCCGGAAAGATTGCGGTAACACGGTTCGCGTCCAAATTAAGCTTTCTAGGACGCCGTGAACCACTTCACGTGCACTACATCTCTTTAAAATGAATGATTTGGTGTTTCTGGTGACTAAAGATAAGGTACAAACCACAATTGCGTAACTCCGACTTCTTTTTTAGAGAAATGTCTGGTCGTTAAAAAGAAATCGCCCTTTATAAGCACGATTGTAAGGCAGTTTCGTCCGGCGACATCATTACGGCATGGAAGGAGGCGTTGACCACAGATCATAAGCTGTGTATGATCTGTGGTCACTGTTTTTTTTCGTACGAGAATGAGCAAACATTTGATACCAAATAAAATAGATTTAGCATTCACGAAATTCGGCTTGTTTACTTGCTTCAAATCGATATTTGATTTGATTACACTTATTTTGTACCCGTACACGCCTACTTTATTCCCTAATGAGTTGCAAGTGATAATTACATTGTTTTTCTTTGTCGTGCAAGGTCATCACAATTTATTATTAACAATCAGAGCTATGCAATTACGCGGAGGAGGCGCATTTGAAGATATTCAAAATTGTTTTGAATATACAAACGACTTCAAACGTCTTGCTGTTTGGGTGCTTTCCTACATGCAGGACCAATAATAAAGCCAAAACCTTATAGAGGAGACTATCTGTATCAACTCAACGCGCAAACACGATGTGAAGCGTGTCTTCGTACGTTGGAAAAGAGATACTGGCGAGCAAACCATAGCGTCGAATGTCCATGCATCCAAATGCCCGTGCACCGAAATATCTGCGCGCCGAAAAGACCCACAGCGAAAAGTCTTTGCAGCAAAAAGTCCGTACACTGAAATGTCTGTGCACCAAAAAGTCCGCACCGAAATGCCCTACAGCAAAACGCTCTACACCGAAAAGTGTTAGACCCACTACAGATGGGACCCTCCGTCACCTCTGCCGGTTTACGAATCGTAATGATTCAGAACCACTGGTCTATGGAGTGCCATCCCTGATATACAGAAAACGCCATACTTCCCGTTGTCGAAAGATGCCAAATCAAATATTTATATTAAAATTGATACTTCAACGACTACTTCTTTGAGCAGAACAAGGTATTTGTGCTCTCACAACAGCAATAATCGTCGTCCAAACCAATGTTAAAAAAAAAGCCAATGCAACTCGTTGGGAAGAGCAAGTGCCAAGCTCGCTCAAAACAGCTACTCGGTTGGTTCAGCTTCTTGTCGCAGGTGTGCCGGCTGGCTTCTGGATAATCTTTTCAAATCCTTCAAGCTTTCATTTCCTCCACCCCAAACTTGTAAAAAAAAAAAAAAAAAAAAAAAAAAAAAAAAAAAAAAAAAACCGCAGTTGGCAGAAAAACAAAAAAAAGAAAAAAAAAATCGGAAAATGGCGAGGAGGAAACGAGAGGCGATTTCCTCCTTTCACAGTGGCGAGAAGGAAAGTGAGGGTCGGGTTCCTTCTCTCTGCTTGCGGGCCGGCCTTTAACATGCGCTAGAGACGTTAAAAAGGGTGCCAGGCACTAGGAAAGTGTGGGAATTTTGCACTGCACTTGATGTGTTCATGCTCTTCGAAGCATTCACATCTTGGGTACAGAGCAGTAAAGGTATGTCGCTATAACTGTGGCGGAAAATAAGATGCACCTTCATTTCCATTTACAGATGAGGAAAATGTGGAGTCTCAGGGCATGGACACTACTTGACGGACTCCCGCTGCTTTGTAAATGAGACGTGCATAAAGCTCTTGATTTGGAACCAGTCTGCTGCGTCTCGAGACCACCAAGAGACTTCCGCATTGTCATCTCCCACTCTGTGAGCTACGCACTGCGACGATTCAGTTTGCATATTTCGCAGGTGCTGCCCAGTGATTGTGGCACCCAACCGCACAACAAAAATCTCACCCAGCCACAAACAAGTCAAGCGCAACAATAAAATTGAAGCATGCTGCGGCATTCACTCACAGGCAAACGGCAAGTCGGAAATGCTCGCTTTGCGTTATGTGACGTCGGAACTTCAGTGTTGCCAACGAAAGCACCGTTTATACTAGGGTGCGATTGGAGCAGTTTAAAAATTCAATTACTCGAGCAGAGGGGCATATAAAATTTAGATATTGCACAGACAATGCGTTTCGAGGCAATAGCAATGATATTCAATTGTTTTCTCAAACACAAAATTTTACCGGACAATCCCTTTAACATCTTGATCGTTTCAAAGTTAACCCGCTCGTTAGGCACAAACCAAAAATAAAATCTCAACTGAACAAGGAACTCGGTTAAAAACAAGGTGAAAGTCGGATGCAAAGCGAGACTGCAACCATACAAAGACGCGCTCGCTCGATGACAAGGAGTGCCAAATTTCGCAGTGTTAGGTAGTGTATGCACTTACATTTGTTACATGCAGGCAAGACTGGGATATCCAGCTTTCTATTGTTGTGGATTCGAAATTTTAAGTGAGATGCGTGCCTAACAATCGATTCACACGACGGACCGAATCGCAATTTTCGTCCGCGAACCGTGTACCACATCACCGATTCCTGCGATCCGCGCCTCGTCCGTGGACGTGCCGACTGATAAAGTCGAGCACCTTTTCACTTTCAGATTTTTGGCGGGAGATTAAATTGAAAAGCATTTAATTTGGCAACGGTTCAATGTTTTCTTGGTTTTGTACAAAGTTACTAAAACACTCAGTTGGGAAACTCGCCCTTGAAATCTGGGTCGCTGGCGTCCACCGAGACCGAGCTAAATACGATAACAGCGCCACCCTTTAGCGAGTCTCTGAATGTTCCCAGAGTACCGAAACTCCTACGCTCGAGGTGCCAAGATGGCGGCTCAATCGTATTCTTTACTGTAATCGCAATAAGCTTTTCGAAAGCATGTCTTCGCATAAAAACAAACAGAAAAAGCTAATTTTTTACGAACTTTTATTGGAGATTAATACAAAATGACAGGCGCGATATGTTCTCTAAAATCTTTGATTTACAAGGTTTTGCGGCAGAATTAATATTGTTTTTATCCAACCACGTCTCACTGGTGATTTCAGGTAGCGCGTCCCAACTTGGGTAGTAATCCCTTTGCAAAAATCCCAAAAGCCCGCGTGCGCCGTGCAACGAATAATGGGAGTACTCGGTACACTCCTCCCATTCTTTTTCCTCCAGCTACCACGTGGCATACGTGAGCAGTCGCAGGTTACCATACCAACAACGTTCGGGCACCCGAGAGCCGGCCGCATGTGGGAGTGGGTCTGCCCCTTCTTTATCCCTCTCCTTTGTACCGCACCACCTCTGTCGTCTGCTGCGCCAACGATTTGTCGAACCTAGTTGAACCACCCTGCCAAGGTCACGGTGCAAAATAAGTGGAGTCTGTGATACTGCAAGACATGAAGGCAAGTTATGACCAATAACGTATTCAAATCATCTTTCGCGATGTGTTTACGCTGCCACAGATGCAGTACGCTGCCAACAACGTTCCGGCAATAGCTGCCGCGATGCGCACGGAGGCGCAACGAGAAAGCGCGTGATCTGTACAAAGGGTTCCCGAAATTCCCTGTTGTCGTGGCGCTGTGCGTTTTGCAACAAGTCTATTCGCAGCGTGTCCACTTGGGAGTCGGGGTGGGCATCCCTGAAGCCCTTTCCACCGTATATGTTTCGGCTCTAAAATGGGCGATTAAAGCCAAAACAGAACCGTCACAGCAGGCGCTATCAAATGCGTCCCTAACTGATACAGCCGTGCAGTTTGAGTGGCCGCTGCAGGAGAAATGGCGGCGTTGCTATCGTCATTAGCTCGATTCTGTTGTACGGATCGATGCCACTTTTTCAGAGCAGGCTCTATGGCAGTTTCCAAACAGATATTCTAGTAACATTGGTTTGACGAAAATAATCCCTGGAGAAGGGGAACAAGAGGGACAAAGGACAAACATAAATCTCCAAACACAGCTAGGTGACTGGTGAGCGACCGAAAAAATCCGCCTGGTCCGGGTATCGAACCTGGGACCTCTCCATTACAAGTGGAGCTCGCTTGCACCTTCCAGCTCGCTTGCATGTTTGCATTTAATTGCACTATAATTATAACATTGGTTTTGTGTTTTCTGACGATTAAAACAAATTGCGCATCAATACATTTGTGCCTTAATTCGCTGGTTTATTTTGTTTCCATGCGTGAAAAAAAATGCAGAAACTTTGTCCAGCTCACGTGACCAAGTTCCCGTACTCCAAGTCTATGTCAAGAAGGTTCTAACAAACAAAGTGTCTAGAGTACCGTCCGACGGCACTCTTGCAGAGCGTTCAAGTGCCGTACGACGGTACTCCACTTACACGTTCAAGTACCGTCCAAAAGTCTCGTATAAAACGAGTTCTCAAAACGAGATTTCCGAAGCGGTAGCGTAACTTGGTGAGAAGATGTCTACCTCCTACGCAAACAGTCCCGGGTTCGATCCCCAGTATGGGCTTACTTTTTTATATATTTTTCTCAAACATTTTGTTTTCGTCGAGGCATTTGGCGATATTTACGACATTTCTTTTTACGATTAACACTTGAAAAAACGAATGCTGTCGCCGAAACTTCGCTGAACAAAATGGTATGGGACTTCCCTTCCGGAGGTGCATGGGGGACGGCGCGAAGCGGCGTGTACGACGGGGCAAAGTGGGTTAATAGTTTTGTAATTAGTAGCCGCATACTGTTGCCGAGAACGCAAGGGGGGGGGGGGGGGGGGGGTTTGTCGAGCTCTCCAGTGACTCTCTTTAATCCGAAAGAGAGTCAGACTCTCTTTCGGATCTTTCGGAAAGATCTGAAAGAGAGTGAGGCGGGAACACATTTGCGAAAAAACGAACCGAAAATCAGAGAGAAATCGGAGGCTGCGAAAATCGTAGCTTGCGATTTTCGGAAGACGAGCCACATGAGGTGGAATGCGCGGCGCGGAAATCGCAATGCACTGCGGTTTTCGTGCTCCGACTTCAGGAGGCTGTGCGGTAGTCTGGCGAACTGGCGTCCCATATTTCGCGCCTCTTAAAGACTTCAGCTATTAAAACCTCGTTGAATGCCACGCGAGCCTTTGTACCACCACCCTTTGATAGAGACAGGGTTTTCTACGAAGGTTGAGACGAGAACGCAGGGATGGCATACGATGTTGCCTGCGCTGCTTCCGAAGCTGCGTGAGCCGCCATGTTGCGAGCCGATCGTATCTTTTCGTTCCGTCCTGTTCCGGGCTTTCGCTCACCGAGCTCCTCCGCCCCGAATTCGGAGGCGCCGTGCGAAAATATCTGGCGCTGCAGATCTTTCGAACCGCTCCCGATTTTCGGAAAAGGGGAGGAGCCTAGCTGCCGTGCGATTTTCGTGTGCGGTTTTCGCACAAAATTCGGCTTTTTTTCGCAAATGTGTTCCCGGCTTTACTCTCTTTCGGACGGCACTTAAAGACGCGGGTGGAGTGCCGTCGGACAACGCTGTAGACAGCCTCCGACAAAACTAGCAGGCCGCGGTAATTCTTGCACGTCCAATCAGGCTTTACCGAGCAAGACCTTTTTTGAGGCTGTGGTGTGCTTGAGTGTTGTGCACGAGCGCGGAGAGTGAAGGCATCTTCAAACGCCGTTTGCGAGCCCAGAACTTCGTCGCTGCTACGCCGAAGCCTTCTCGAGCAGGTTACATGCCAGTGTCATGCCTTGGGTTAGTAAAGCTAGTGTCGCCTTGCACGAGTTCTGTCTCGCGGTCTCTGCGTAAAGCGGGAGACACATGTACGACGAAACCTTCCGATCCGACGTGCGGACTGCCGGAATGACCTTGGGAGGAGAGGGTTTTCGTAGCATCGGAGAGCGTTGAAAACCCTCGCCTCCGACCGTCGTATTGCGCGGTCGGACGTCGGATCGGACGGTTTCGTCGTACATGTGTTTCGCGCTTAACAGCGGCGTACAGTACGATTCTTCACCGCGCTACCAAAAGTAGATTTATCTCTCGTACAACGGTGCCACGGTGAATGTTAGAGTTTCGCGGCACTGTGAGGTGGCGAACAGGTTAGGTCAGTCCTCGCTGGCATCTGGTCGTCGTCTCGTGGTCTCGCTCGTGTGGACGCGATTGGGAGACGGACGAACCACGGATATGTCGTCATCAATCCGTCCGCGGAACTGGCGGAACCAACCACAGAACCAACAGACGTGCAAGAGCTCAGAACATCGCCGCCGGGCGTCACGTCCGAAAGGATCAACTGTCGAGCCAGTCCCCTACACACGCTGAACACGCAACTTCATGAAACGGCTGCCACTGCGACCAACTGCGACGGCTGCATCGACGGGGGACGTTGAAATTATAAAGCCGAATAAAGCCACTATTTTGACGTTCTACGGAAGTGACGTCACTTTTTTTTTTTTTTTTAAATACCACTTTGAGGCATGGCTTGGAAGCGACGCGGCGACGCTTGGAAGCTTGCGCGAGTGTCTTGAGGAAAAGCCATGGAAGGATGCTACGAATGGTGAGTAGCATGCAACGTCGGTGAAGGTGCTTTCCCCGGTTGCTCGTTTTCTTTTGAGGAAAATGAATGCGAGGCTCGGCAGGGGGCCAGCGGGAATCACAGGGACGTCCAACGCGCCGGCGTCCGCGAGGTCCTGGAGAAGACGCCAGCCGCATTTGAGCTCCGTGTTTTCCCTTCCAGTTTTTAACACTAACGATGAACAGTTGTGAAAGTAAGTGGAAAAGCCACTGCAAGCATACATAAGCAGCTAGCTTCATAAAATATAAAAGACGTTTTTTTTTTTTTTTCTGTAGACCCCAAAGATTACGTGCGAGACATATTTTATTGTATCTTTAAAAAAAAAAAAAAAGAGAAATACTTCAAGTAAATTTACCCTTATCTATAAAAACATCTCCAGCGAAAAAAAAAAAAAAAAACGAGAGTACTAAAGATAAAATGGGTGTAAAAAAAGCTTGGGCATGTTGGTACGACATACTTGAAACTAAAAACTTTCTCCTTCTGGTCTGTCGTCTTTTGAAAATCGGTTCCTGACTCGGAGAAGTGAACAAGACGGCCTCGCCGCAACGCGTAGGTGCATGCGGCGAAGCCAACCGCACGGTTCCAGCGACGGCGCTTTGCAGTGGCAGGGGAGGGGTATGTGGGGTTCCAGCCCTTCCACCTCCCGCCGCTCCCAAAATCCAGCTGATGGTGCTGACCTTATAATACACACATTTTTACCCCCCCCCCCCCCCCCCCCCCCTCCTCCCCGAAAAAATTCCTGGCTGCGTCACTGCATGGTGCTTTGTGAGGAAAGGGAAGTCGGGCAGGCAGCTTGGTCGGCTTGGTCGCATGAAATAAGCACAAAGTTAGCGGGTTTACTGGCGGTGGACGCCACTGTTCCGAGCAAAACAATGCGCGCTAATGTGCACAAATTAAAATACCGCCTTTTTTTTTATGCGCTGTTTAGCAGGGGTTCCCGCAGGGTGACACCGTGGTATCAGCTGTGGCGGCGACAGCGCCGACCGATATGGCCGATATGCTCGCGGCCAGGAAGAAGAAAAATGGACTGCAAGAACTGCGAAACGATTCGTTGGCACAACAACGAACGTTGAACCCCACGGAACAGTACCAGCTCTTTAAAGTCATATAAAAGCGCCCCCCAAAACACACCTAAACAAACCGCAAAGTAAAGTAAGAAAAAAAAAAAAAAAAAAAAAACAGTTTTAGGCGGCGGTTTTCGTAACGGCTCCACACCTGCTCGGCATCTCTAGGGTCAGGTGACCTCTCCTCAGCCAATCAAAGCAGCGGAAAAGCGGTGTGCGACAGCGGCGGCGAGTTTCAAAGGATCGTCAGGATCGCGGCGAGACCGGCAAGACCGGCGGGATCCAAACAGTCGTCGGCACGACAGCACGATTGGGCGTCAGCGGGAGCTGTTGGACGTGCGTGGGCGCCAGGAGATTCGGAGCCGCTCAGGTGACATTCCATGGCGCCTTCGCTCGAGGGCACAAAGTCGGCAGTCGTCGAGTCTCGTGTGCAGCCGCTCTGAAAAACAAAACATTCGATTTGAAGCGCGTGCGTGCCGAATGCTCTACGCGATACTTCGGAACCCGTCGCCCTGGGACCAAAGTTGGTGCGTGCAGTGAGCTGCTCAGAGGTACTCCTTCGAGTGCTTGGAAGTAGACTTGAAAAGCGTGCTGGCGAGTGCCGGGTGCACAGGTCGCTGATTTCCGGCCCCTTCGGCCTTAGTTTTTGCGGGTGGCGGTCTAATCGAGGAAGGCGTCGGAAGCATTGCCCCTTGCCGGTCACCGGCCCATGTGAGAAGCGAGAGTAGACTCGGTTCTTTTGGATCGGGGTCGATTCACCCGCCGCCTCCGCCTTGATTAAGTGATGAGAGTTTTTTTTTTTATTTTTGTTTTCTTCCTGCCACCTTATTTTAAATTTGGCATTTTGAGGAAATGCCACAAATTTGGAACGCCAGCTCTTCCACTACTAGTGTTCTGTAGCAACAAATGTTGCTCATTCTTTAACGAGGGTAGAAAGTTGGGCGAGCATGGTGATTCATAATGATAAAAAAGCGCGACACAGGACAACGGACACAGAAGGAGACAGACAAAGCGCTACTTACAACTGAACTTTATTTCCGCTGCAGCTCGGTATATATTACCGGCAACAACACAAACAAGTTAGGAAGATATAAAATACACATCGTAAAAATCTTAAAAAACAACATAAAAAGGCTAAAATTCCTGCATCACTCATCGGCACCCACACGAAACTAGTCATGCTTGGTCAAAAACTGCAATTCTTTTTCGGATAACAATAAAGAGGGTGCACTGACACATTGCAGCCCCAATCTAGCAATTTCTCGAGCCTCGAGTATTTCCCTTGTGGTTTTGTTTCTGTTTTTGTTTAGTACTGTGCAATCTGTGAAAATCGGAGTACAACCACAATCCCGGCAATGCACACCGAGGTGTCCTGATATGACGTCATCAACGTTGTAACAGTGTTCCCTCAATCTTTCATTTAGGCAGCGACCAGTCTGCCCCGCATAATGACGCCCACACGATAATGGCACGGAATACAGAACCTCTTCTGTACACTCAACAAAGCAAGTTTTGTGCTTTTTCGTGCAACCGGGTCTGCTTACGGTGTTTGAGGTAGAATTTACCTTTTTACACAAACTAGCCAACTTGAAGGTGCTGAAAAAACTATGTTAACCCCTGCGTGCAAGCCCGCTCTTTTCAGGTTATGGGACACTTTATGTAGGTATGGTATGACCACTGGTTTCTCTTTTTTCTTTCTCTGTACTTCCGTTCCATGCATATTTTTATTCCTTAACGTCTTGAGAGTGTTCTCTGCTACTAGAAGGGAGACTGGACACCTGATTTTTAAAACTTACCCTAGCAAAAATTCTAATAGGAATATCTATGAGACTAATAGACATTTCTATGAGACTAATATAGCAATGCCTATGAGACTAATAGACATTTTTATGAGACTAATAGGAACTCTTACAAGACTAATAGCAATGCCTATGAGACTAATAGCAATGCCAATGAGACTAATAGGAATCCCTATAAGGCTAATAGCAACTTGTATGAGACCAATAGGAATCTCTATGAGACTAATGGACATCTTTATCACATGAGTAGAGATGTGTATTAGACTAATACAAAACTGTATTTGTCTAATAGAAATATTTATTAGGTTAATGTATGCCTTCTATTAGAATAATACAAAGTTTCATAGACTAATACATCGTTGATCTGGTGAGTGCACGACTTCTTTACCCACGTAGCACGAGAACGTTCTGAGAACATTCCGGGAATGTTCAAAATAACATAGACAACATTCTTGGAATGTTGAAGGTTTACGTAAGAACATTCTATCAACGTTGTCAGAATGTGGCGCAGGCACTTATCGCTACATTCGGGGAATGTCTTGAAAGGGATATTCTTAGAACGTTCTGAGAACGACATAGAACATTACCAGGTCATTCAACCAACATTGAAACATCCTAACAACGGTCTAAGAACATTCTCAGTACATCCAAAGAACTTCTGCAACATTCGCTGAATGTTGCAAATTTACGTAAGAACATTCTATCGACGTTGTCAGAATGTGGCGCAGGCACTTATCGCTATATTCGGGGAATGTTTTCTAGGGGATATTTTTAGAACGTTCTGAGTACGACAGAACATTTAATCACCATTCTAACAAGGTTTTAAGAACGTTCCCAAAACATTCAAAGAACATCTGCAACATCTCTGAGGAATGTTTTTCAAAGATCCCACAATTATGGCTTGCTTAGCTTACAGCCCCTGAGCCGTACTACATATATTGATATAACAAATCTCCTCGCAAAACGATCGATATTTTTTAATCAAAATATATTTTTTCCACGCCTAGCACAACCCAGCCGCTTTTCCAGCGCATTAGCCAGAGCCTGTACTATAACGACAGCTTACTCCTACTTTTCAAAACATGCTGCATACATAACCGATTACTCACTCCGAGCATAAGAACAGATACCTATGGCATCCCACACTCAAGCAGGACATGTCTTCTTCGAGATATTGAATCTGAGATGCTAAAAATTGGGTCTATTCAAAACTGCCCCTCTACACGCGCAGTGAGTGCCAAGCTCATTATCAAATTTTGAAGACCATTGCTTTTCTCCTACACCTTATCTCACATACCTCGGTAGACTCGTATAAGATAAAACTGATCCCTTATGCTAAGTTTCCAAAACCTCCACTTAATTTGCATATTTTTGGCACAAGGTGGCATATATGTGAATGGTGTTTCGAAACACAGGTTGCTTGAAAGCTCCGTAAAGTTGGCTTCACCTGCGAAAATTCTAGGAACGTTCGCAAGCGAACGTTCCTAGAATGTTGCATATATGAATGTTCAAAGGGGAACGTTCAGAGAACATTGTGCATACGAATGTTCGCCAACAAACGTTTCTAGAATGTTGAGCAGCTTACCTTGTAAGGAATGTTCGCAAACGAACGTTCCTAGAACGTTCCGAATGGTGTCTGAACGTTCCTTCAACATTTAGAACACCCAGGGAATGTTCGCACGACATTGGATGCTACGTGGGTAGAGTGTTACCGAAGCAGAGATTGATTATCCCTCTTTTCACGAGCTTTGAGTGTGCCAACGCGAATGGCAGGATTGGCTTGTTCCCCCTTGGTTCATAAATCCAACATACATGACCCGGTCGGAAGTCAGGCCTCGGGTCTAAAAACCTAATGGACCCCCCACCGGCACTTCATGTGTTAGCACCAGGGTCCTTAGACAGTCCCTAAAAGTGGACAGGGTCACGGACACCAGCTCCTCAAAGACATCTGAGCTGCATTCCAAGAGGACTAAAAAATCGTCCACAAATCTAAAAATGCTTACAACCCTAGAACACTCAAATTTACTTGCCAGGATCCGATCAAGGGCCGCCAGATAAATGTGGCTAAGTACCGGTGCTATACGGGAACCGATACACGCACCCATCTTCTGAATAAAAGTGCCTTCGTCCCACGTGGCAAACATAGACCTTAGATAAAATGCCAGGAGTTCAAGAAAACTGCTCACACTGAGTCCTGCCTCATTTTGGAATGCCAGCACACCATGCTTATCTATTGTATCTTCTACACAAGACAGCTACTCATCCTGGGGGATCGAATAATGTAGATCCTTAATGTCAACAGAGTAACCCAAGACGCTCTTGTTGGGAAGAGCTATCAAGGCATCTATCACATCTTCCGAGCTCCTAACCCAAAAGGGATCGTCAATAGTCAGATTTAACTTGGATTGCAAGAAGACTGCTAGGGCTTTCTGCCATGTACTATTTTCCGAGACAATTACTCGCAGAGGACAGTTTACCTTGTGTGTCTTGGCCAAAAAAAAACAGGTTCAAACTCAGTGTTTTGCTCTTGTCAATGGCTAGGGCGAGTCCTCCCTAATTTAATCTTTTGCTCATGGCCCGTGCTTCGAGTTTCTTCTTTGCTAGCGCTACTTCATCACGCCTCACGAAGGTGGACTCAATTGCCAAAGAGGCCTCCAACTGCGGAAGGGTCGGTCTACAAGATGGGAGACGTCAACCTTCCTTAACAAGTGCAGCGGGTCCTGAGTATTGGGCCAAAGTTCGCCTTTGAATCTAGGAAGACACCTTCTGAACTTTTCACACTAGTGAGGCAAGTGTCTGGACGGGCCCCAGAGTTTGACGTAGATAGATGCATCTCAGAAGGCACTGATGTTTTGTTACAGTGTAAACCCACTTTGAGTATTCTCCCCTTAAAAAGTACAGTTACATTTCTGAGAAACAATGCCTTGTCGCTACTCCCAGCAGATAAAGGGCGGTTTTGCAGTAATGCCGAAGGGCATGTTCATGTCAAAGTCGTCAGAGGCAATTGAGTCCACCTTCGTGAGGCGTGATGACGTAGCGCTAGCAAAGAAGAAACTCTAAGCACGGGCCATGTGCAAGAGATTAAATTTGGGAGGACTCGCCCTAGCCATTGACAGAGCAAAACACTGAGTTTGAACCTATTTTTTTCGGCCAAGACACACAAGGTAAATTGTCCTCTGCGAGTAATTGTCTCGGAAAATGGTACATGGCAGAAAGCCCTAGCAGTCTTCTTGCAATCCAAGTTAAATCTCCTGACTATTGATGACCCCTTTCGGGTTAGGAGCTCGGAAGATGTGATAGATGCCTTGATAGCTCTTCCCAACAAGAGTGCATGGGTTACTCTGTTGACATTAAGGATTTATATTACTCGATCCCCCAGGATGAGTTGCTGTCTTGTGTAGAAGATATGATAGGTTAAGCATGGTGTGGTGGCATTCCAAAATGAGGCAGGACTCAGTGTGAGCAGTTTTCTTGAACTCCTGGCATTTTATCTAAGGTCTATGTTTGCCACGTGGGACGAAGGCACTTTTATTCAGAAGATGGGTGTGTGTATCGGTTCCCGTATAGCACC